TACAGTTGATGAGCACTCTGTGCTCATATTGGTCAAGGTCACAGCCATGAAGCAACAAGTCATTAAAGGCCAAAAAAATTCTCATGTGCTAACATTTCTGTTGGGCACAGACAATCTACACAGGATAAACTTATGATAGTCATGCCAGATGCCCATTATCATTTTGTACCCTACGTCTGACAGGTCAGGCTGTAATCAGGGTCTTACTCTCTAGTTTGAACCCAGCATGAGATTTATTTGACACCCAGCAGTTAATATCTGGTGTCACCAGTAGCCTAATAACTGGTAGGTAGAGCTGGGTGTCATCTGCATAACAATATTTGCAAAAAGGTACCACAGAGAAAACATGTGTGTTCTAAACTATAGAAGACCCAAATCTGAGCCCTGTGGAGCACCACAAGAGAAATTAGCATTACAATTGGAAGCAGAGAAACAGCTAGCCTGGCTCTGTCCTAAGGTAACAAAATCCAATTACTAACTTCTCTAAAAGCTTTAATTCTCTCTGCAAGAAATTCTTCAGCATAGACATGTGTGTGTGTATATATATATATATATCAGGGGTTGCCTTAACCGGATATTCCTGGTCATTGACCGGTTTTTTTACAACAATGACGGGAAAATCTGAAGGCCGTTGGTCATTTTGACCGGTTGCAATTACCATCCCTGCCCACTTGGCGGCGGAGTGCACAGTTGGTGGTTTAAGTGGCTGCCGTTTTCACACTGCAGAGAAAAAGTCATTCATCTGCTTCATGTAGCGTTGTTGACATAACGCCCTGGACACACCGGATGCGGAACCGAAGCGCAGTGCCCAGCAGCGGAGGCAGTTTTCAATCGGCGCCCATGTTAACCTATCTGACTGTCCACACAGGCCGCTGAGCAGAGCGGAGCGCCCGTGGAGGCAGCGCTTCAGTTCGGCGTCTGGTCTATTTTTCACGGGAGCCGCGAGCGCTTTTGTCAAGCTGGATAGAGCGGATCGTACCAAACAGGAAGTCGGACACAGAAAAGACGAGAGAATCCGGCCAATTTTCAAAATAAATAATAACAGCACGCACTGAGGAATGTGAGGAGAAAATACTGTGTTTATAATTAACACAAATAACACAACAGTGCATAAGCGAACACATTTTTCAATATCATAATCACTTCATTACAATTTTAATTTTGTGTCACCGAGCCTACAGGCATAACTACATAACGCTCTGGACACACCGGACGCGTTAGTGCCGTCTGGTGTGTCCAGAGCGAAGCCTAATGGCACGGGTGTGTGGATGTCTGTTCATCTTTTCGTTCATGTCCTTATTAATGCACACTTTATAACTTGCTTGTTGGATTTATTAAAAATGAATGAATGAAAACTAAATGTCTTTGAATATCTTTATTATCATTTAAAAACGAAAATTAAAATGACCGGTAAAAATAGATTATGACCGGATTTTTATGACCCTGTCGGTCAAAATGACCGGCCAAGAAAAAGTCTAGTGCAACGTCATATATATATATATATATATATATAACCCTATATAACCCCTTGTAAAACCCCAATTTGTCTTTTTACACTTCTGTTTTTGATGTTTTGCACAAATGACACCAGCTGTTTCCTCCTGCTCCAAAACACTTGGGCCAAATGTATCAGAATCTGTCATAAAAATAGTGGGTATAATACCCTGTGGCCACCATGAAGGTTAGAATCTTAAATTATTCTAAGAGACTTAAAAACTTGAAAAAAAACAAAACAGTAGCATGAAATATGTGTTGAACATGTTCTGTAATGAACGTCAAAGACACAAAATATCAAAAACCATTTCAAAAATGCTTATCCTCAAAACAAGTCTTGTATATTGATGCATCTGCCCCAGAGAAGAACGTTTTTAACATGCATATCTAATACAGTCAAAAGTACATCATTTCCACATGTTAAAACATGATAACATCTGCACAGTGAAAAGAACTTGGCTGACTCTTGATGTTAAAAATAAAGTCAGTGTAGAGGTCATTAAGTCCTGTTTTTCTTCTCTCCGTCGATGCAAACACAAAATCAAAATACAGGTGACCACATAAATTATACTCACTGAGTTCCACGTAATTTTGTTATTGTGTAAATCCAAATAATTTTCCATAGCCTCAGTCTAAATGTTATTAAATGTTAAAGCCATTACAGAAATGTAAAGGAGACCCACCTCGTGCACAGTGTTTGTGTCTGATAGCTTTTCTTATGTCCGACAAAAACTTGTCTGTTGTTCACAGGTGTGCTGATGATGATGATGATGATGATGATGAATGACTGTTGGTGTTTGTGTTGTTCCAGCTGTATGGGAGGGAAATAAACAGATTGTTTGCATGATGCCAACCCACTCATGCTATTATGTTTATCCATTTTTCATTCTGATAATAATAATGCTTTGTCATTTGCTTGTTTTTATTTTTTTTTAAATATCTCTTGTAGCTTTGGTAGATAAAATATTTGGACACGTTTGGTCCCAAATCTGGAGAAATCAAGACCAAACACATTAAATGACTCTTGAGTTTGACCTGTTTTACAGTCTCAGATTAACCATCGGCCCTGCTGGGTAACTTTCTCCTCCTCATCAGGAACATGACGGGCTGGATGAAGCTGCTGAACACAGACAAAGAGACAGAGGTGGGAACCAGTTGGCACAGGTTTAACACCATCATTACCTGCACAGACACAAGACTTTAACACTAAAACACACCTGTGTGACCAGAACTGTAATGAAGGCCTTTGTCTTGGCTGGATCAACTTCCTGTTTGCCGCCCTCACCTGGACCGGGCTGAGGAACCAGAGGACGAAGACGTGTCAGTGTTACGACAACAGTAACGATACAATGCTAATATTTACTACCACAATAATACATGTGAATTGATCACATTAACACATTTTTATTACACGTGAAAAATAATAATTGTGTGTGTGTTTACCCAAATAATGTACTGCAGTACAATTTTATTATCACTGTTATTATTAAGTATTTCTTCTTTTACTAAAGTAAATGACCTGAATACTAATATAATGTAATGACATGTTAGATATCACATGTGAAAAAAACTATTCACTACTATGGTAACAGCATTTTACATGTGATGAATTTGGCCATTTTTGTAAAGCTAAATATCATTTTTCAGAAGAGAAACTATCAGCTTCTCCTCATACAGTGGTTTGTGTGATATCTTAGCACCCCTTCAAAGCCTTCATGGAATTACATTCTAATTTTCAAGTTTACATTTTAATCATTTTAATAAAGTCCATTTTGGGCTTTTATATAAATCAGTACTCTACTGTTTTAAGAAGATTAAGAGATTAAGAAGAGCAATGTATTCAGACAGAGTGTTTGTGAGTTTGAAAGGCAGATAGTTAAAATGTTTATATGTTGTATTGACTTCAAAGTGGGGCGCGCTGGTAGTTCACATGGGAAAGGTGCGGCTAGCCCTTGTTGCAGCAGCATACCATACCATGACTTAGTCATACCAAACATTAGAAAACACCAACACTGGTCCACAGGGGGAGCCACAGAGATCGGTCACATTTTAGCCATTTTGAAGCATTTTTCTGTTGTTATAGCGCCACCCAGTTGCCAATTAGAGTTAAATTTCTCCAGTCACCTTGAGGCGTCCTGTTCTACATATCTACCAAGTTTAGTAAAAATCCATATGGCGGTTAGGCCTAGATAAGAAATGAGCTCTCTAGCGCCCCCATTTTGTTTGATGGGGTCAATAATGGAGGGGTCACCTCAGATTATGTGTGGTCATATGCCTACAAAGTTGCGTGGTGATGGCTGAAACCCTTGAGATGTTATACACCTTTATGTGATGAGCCACGCCCTCCGCAATATTCATTGCCTTATAGAAGCTCAGTTTTAGTAAGTTTTCCAACTTTTGCCAAGAGGGAACTTTAGATATTGGTCCCTAGATTATGTTCACCCAGTTTCATGCAGATCGCTCAAACTTCCTAGGAAGAGATCCATTTGAAGTGTTTTTCAAAACATTCAAAATGGTGGAAAATCTATATAGCGGAAGTTATGGGTTCTTGAGGCAAATGTGTTCCTCATGAGGAGAGGCATCTCTGTGCAAAGTTTCATGTCTCTACCACATACGGGGCATGAGATATGCCCATTCAAAGTTTGACATTTCAATGGGTTGCTATAGCGCCCCCCTTTGGCCAATTGATGTAATATTACTTCATTGGCATCCTCCCATGACCCTCTACCACTGTGCCATCGATATTGATGCTAAGTCATTAAAAAATGACTGATTACACATGTATTTTATATAAAGCCCCCATACATAATTTTTATTTTATATTTATTCTGACAATAGTTAAAAATTCATATTATACAGTCTGCTTGCAAGTGTTTGTTTGTTCGTAAATGTGTGTTGAAATGTAAAATGAGTCTACATTGTTTATTTTTGCATTTTAGTTTTTAATTTGAATTAACAGTTAAATATTTTGTGCTGCACAGCGGGCTACGACTTTGAAAATTAAATGCCAAACAGCTTTTCTATTTTAATTTTACTATGGTAATAGAGCACCCATATATGTTTCTGAAAATGCAAATATAATTATTACGTTTTCATTTCAAAGTTCATCGTATCATTTTAATAAAGTCCCCTTTGGACTTCCATATATTCAGTAGTTCACTGTATATATATATGTGTATATATATATATACATATATATATATATATTTGGATTTCTAATAGTTCCAGAAGTATGATTGTGTGTAACGTTATTTCTAATATATTTTTTTATATAAATCACACGAATGATGTTGTATTTTATTTGTCATCCGAGTGTCTGTGTGTTTTTTCCTCCAGTTATATTGTATTATGTTAAACAGTGCGCATGTGTTTCCTACGAGTGTTTGTTTGTTTGTTAATGTGTGCTTGAAATAAATAAATAAAAAATAAAAAACAGAGGAGGCAAACCCCGGATGTTAGGAAGCGTTCCGTGACGTGTTTCCTGTCGGACTGTTTTTATGGATGGACCGCTGCACCTTGAACCTGTCAGAACAGCCTGTCCCGTCTATTTTCTCCTCTCCTCCGTTTATAAACACTTTCATTAAAAATGTCCAATTTTCCACATTTTCTCCGGCACGCGCCCGCGGCACTCACGCGGTTGTCGTGCGGCAGAATCTCAGAGAAGTGCGTCAGATTAAACGCGAGGTCTTTGAACGTTAGCGCGTCTGCTAAGTTCGCACCGAGTCACACACATGGAGATAAAGTCAGCTCCAGGTGTTACACGAGTTCAGCCCGGACCAGACCCGTCCGGATCGGCTGTGCATCCGGGTTCTGGGGGGACACAGCCGTCTCAGGTACAGAGACACACACCTGTTTAAAGCTAAGATCATGCTGAACACACACACACACACACACACACACACACACACACACACACACAGCTGCCTAACAGCTGTTAATGTTAACTAAGTGTACTCTGTGAATGCTAAGGTAAGTAACTACAATAAAAATACTTTAAAATCAATAATCTAAATCTGTACAGTAACTACAGCTGTCAGAGTATGAAGTACAATATTTGCCTCTGAGATGTAGTGGAGTAAAAGTATAAAGTACAAGTAACAACAAGTAACATGAGTCTGAGTGGACGTTCGTGCTAAATATGAGGAGATTCCCTCGAGGCCTTCATGATATCATGTTCACGAGACAGAAGCAAGGCCATTGACCTCCATATTCTAATTACGTCATCATTGAGTCCAGTTGGATGTTTGTGCCAAATTTGAAAGATTGAGATGTCACATTAAGGAGACTAAGGAGGCTCAATGTCATAGTGATCGTGACCTTTGATGTATGACCACCAAACTCCAACTGCTGTAGTTCATCATTGAGTCCAAGTGGACATTTGTGCCAAATTTGATAGAATTTCCTCAAGGTGTTCTGTAGATATCACATTCCAAGAGAGGTCACAGTGACTTTGACCTTTGACCAAATTTGAAAGACTGAGATATCACCTTCATGATAATGTCGGGGCTCAAGTTCATCATGACCTTTACCTTTGACCTATGACTGCCAAAATCGTATCAGTTCATTTTTGAGTCCATATGAATGTTTGTGCCAAATCTGGGAGAATTCCCTCCAACCCTTCTTGAGATATAGCATTCACAAGAATGAGAAAGAAGCAAGACAATAGTGACCTTGACCTTTGATGTATGACCACCAAAATCTAGCTAATTCATTGTTTAGGCCAAATGGATGTTTGTGCCAAAATATTAAAAAAGATTTCCTCAAGGTGTTCTTTAGATATCACATTCAAGAAAGTAGGACAGACCAGGTCACAGTGACTTTGACCTTTGACCACCAAGTCTAATCAGATCCTCTTAATGAGTCTAAGTGGACGTTTGTGCCATATTTGAAAGATTGAGATTTCACGTTCATGAGAATGAGGGGTCTCAAGGTCGTAGTGACCTGGACCTTTGACCTTAGACTACCAAAATCTTATCAGGGCTTTTTTAAGTCCATGTGAAAGCTCGGGCCAAATCTAAAGAATAACAAAGAAACAAGGCCATAGTGACCTTGACCTTTGATATATGACCACCAACATCCAACTAGTTTATTGTTGAGACCAAGTGGATGTTTGTGCCAAATTTAAAATAAGTTGTCGAGGTATTCTTTAGGTATCAGATCAGGTCACAGTGACTATCCAAATTTAATCAGTTAGTTTTTGAGTCCAAGTGGACATTTGTGCCATATTTGAGGAAATTCTCAGATGGCCTTCCTGAGATATTGCGTTTAAGAGAGTGAGAATAACCAGGTTACTGTGACCTTGACCTTTGACTTTTGACCACCCAAATCTATTCAGTTCATTTTTGAGCCCAAGTGGATGTTTGTGCCATATTTGAGGAAATTCACAGATGGCCTTCCTGAGATATTGCGTTTAAGAGAGTGAGAATAACCAGGTTACTGTGACCTTGACCTTTGACTTTTGACCACCCAAATCTATTCAGTTCATTTTTGAGCCCAAGTGGATGTTTGTGTCATATTTGAGGAGGTTCCCTGAAGGTGTGTTGAAATACCACGTTGACAATAATGAGATGGAAGCAAGGCCACAGTGACCTTTGACCACCAAGTTCTGATTACTTTATCGGTTTACAGAACGGACTCTACATGTAGACACAGAACATGTTCCTTCAACAGTAAACAACAATAAATTACTGAAAATAATTGAACACACTTTTACTTCCTGTCACAGACACTTCTCATGTCTTCTACAACATGTGACTGAGTAATAAAACATCGTAAATAATAAATAATGTGTTATATAAATAATAATAAAGTATATAAATAATAATATATATCTTGTGTGTTTCCAGTGCCTCAGCTGGTTTACAGTGGGAAGCTGGACTTCCTGGTGTTCGACTACCTCAGTGAGATCACAATGTCTCTGCTCACCGCCGCCAAGACCAAGATGCCTGTGAGTCACACGTCTGTACACGCTCTGACATATGACTGTGTCACGTAATAATGTGACATCATATAGGATATAAAGTGTTTTTTTATTTTCTTTTTTGGTTTATAAGATCAAAAAATACCTTTAACTGATCAGGATCAGTATGTTGTTTGTTCAGCTCATCTTGTGACGGCCATTTTGTTTCCTGTTGAGTGTCAACCTGCAGGTTCAGTCTTTGAAAATGAAATGTCAGTGCTGTTTTTATTTTCAAATTGTTTGAAATTTTAATTGTGACTGCAGTGTTCGTGGTAAGTAAAGTATATTTTGTTTGCAAAACACATTTCAGAACAAGAGTTTTTAAATTTTGATTTAACCAGGAAGGCCGTTGAGATTAAAATCTCTTTTTCTAAAGGAGACGAGTCGCGATGATGCGCCATTATGAGGTTACAGAAATTATAAAATGCAGCATGTGAAAAACAGACAAAGAATAATTACAAGGTGCTCTTCAATAAACACTGAAGAAAAATTACAATAAAACTGAGAATCAGAAATAATTATTAAAACTATACAGAACTGCAGCACAATATGTGTAAATAATATTTGTTTATGTTGCATTTTAATTTATAAATGTAACATTTGAATATTGTCGTCTGTACAGCAGGTTAAAACGAGATGTTTTCATTTTCACGTTGTTTAAAAAAAATTCTTTTCAAATAAAATGACAGTTAAATGTTAAATGCATAGATATAAAATTAGGTTTTATTGTTTATATTGCATTTTGATTTTCACATTTTATTAAACATGAATGTTGTCCACTGTACAGCGTGGTATGACTTAAATTAAACGTAAAACAGTTTTCATTTTAATGTGGTCGTGGGACGCCAACACGAGTGTGTGAAAGTTAAAATCCAAATTGAATTATTGTATTTTAATTTAAATTTTAATTTTAATTCAGATAACACGAACATACGTGGAGAATTATAATGCTATTGTGGAATTACATTTTTATTTTCAAGTTTATGTTATCATTTAAATAAAGTCCTCTCTGGGCTTCCATACAGGTCAGGTATCTGCTTCTTTCTCATTCTTAAAGGGATAGTGCACCCAAAAATGAAAATTCAGCCATTATCTACTCACCCATATGCCGAGGGAGGCTCAGATGAAGTTTTAGAGTCCTCACATCACTTGCAGAGATCCAAGGGGAGAGGAGGTAGCAACACAACTCCACCTAATGGAGGCTGACGGCGCCCCAGATTCAAACGTCCAAAAACACATAATTGAAACCACAAAATATCTCCATACTGCTCGTCTACACTACATTACACGTGAGCGCGGTGCCCAGAGAGGCAGTCAGAGCTACAGGCTACAATGAGGCTAAAAACAGAGTTCAAATGAGGTTTTTCCAAACAACTTTTTAAGTCGGGGCTTCAGGACACTTGGATCACTACGGACGAGCAGTATGGAGATATTTTGTGGTTTCAGTTAGGTGTTTTTGGACGTTTGAATCTGGGGCGCCGTCAGCCTCCATTAGGTGGAGTTGTGTTGCTACCTCCTCTCCCCTTGGATCTCTGCAAGTGATGTGAGGACTCTAAAACTTCACCTGAGCCTCCCTCGGCATATGGGTGAGTAGATAATGGCTGAATTTTCATTTTTGGGTGCACTATCCCTTTTAAGTGTTAGATATGTCATGTAAATCTTGTGTGCAGATTCTCTGTAATCCCAAAATGTAGCACATGTAGCGTCTCTGTAATTAGACTCAGAATAAAATGAGTTTGACTGTTGTTTTAATTTGCTGTCAGTGTAAATACACAGAAATAGACACAGCAGATAAGAACAATGTGTATGATAATAAATGATAATAAATGATCTCCTCTGTGTCTCTGACAGAACATGGGTTACGCTCCGGACTTCGTCCAGGTGGCTCTCGCTCCGTTTATTAACGACATCCACAGGAAAGGTGAGAAAACCTGTTTCTGGGGTCCCGACAGGAAACAAGTCACATTGTGCCACCTGCTGGTTCCCTGTTAGAACAGATCAAACTTCATCCGGTCATTTATGAACTCTAACTTAACTTATATTTATTTTATTTTTCCAGATTATTTTTTACCTCATTTTATCGTTTATTGTTTAAACTTTAACCATTTGTTCTGTTCCATCATTGTGTGAATGTAAAATAATGATTATTGTTGTTGTTGTTGTTGTTGTTATGGCGTCTGATAACGTCCCTGCGATGTGCTGCTGGCAAGTCAGTTTCCATGGCAACCACACACAGTGACAGGTGTAGTGTCCGTCCTCCTTCACAGGTATCCGCGTGGTGAGTAACGCCGGAGGTGTGAACCCTCTGGCCTGCGCCGAAGCCATACAGGAAGTCATCAAGAAGGCCGGCCTGGACCTCAAGGTCGCTGTGGTGACCGGGGATGACCTCATGCCCCATGTAAGGTCGCTATGGCAACAGCATCACCATCATCATCATTATGAATTGATTGGTGTTAATTACAGAATAATTGATCCTCTCCTCTCCTCCTTGTCTCCTCCTCTCCTCTCCTCTCCTCTCCTCTCCTTGTCTCCTTGTCTCCTCTCCTCTCCTCTCCTCTCCTCTCCTCTCCTTGTCTCCTTGTCTCCTCTCCTCTCCTCTCCTCTCCTCTCCTCTCCTCTCCTTGTCTCCTTGTCTCCTCTCCTCTCCTCTCCTCTCCTCTCCTCTCCTTGTCTCCTTGTCTCCTTGTCTCCTCTCCTCTCAGAGAAGCAGTCTGTCAGAAGTCAAGATGGCGGATGGCAGCAGCAGACAGCAGTTACCTAAAACACTCCACAGTATGAACGCTTACCTCGGGTACAGACACTCTATGTTATTACTGAGTGATTGGAAGTGTTTGATGTGTGATGATGAAGGTGTGATGAAGAGTAAACCTGCTGCTCTCATTGGTTGTTTCCTCTCTGTGTGTTCAGAGCTCTTCCTATCTGTCGCTGTCTGGATCTCGGGGCGGACATCGTGGTAACTGGACGCTGTGTGGACAGCGCCGTGGCTCTGGGGCCTCTCATGCACTCTGTACGTGTGTCATTAGTGTGTGTGTGTGTGTGTGTGTGTGTGTGTTAGGTTCCAGGGTATCTGCAGGATTTAAAAGGTTTTTGACCCTGTTGGTTTGTGAGGAGACTCAGTCTGGTGTTTTTATCTGTTACAGTTTGGATGGGAGACGACTGACTATGACCTGCTGGCAGCTGGGAGGTACACACACACACACACACACACACACACACACACACACACACACACACACACCACAGCTACAGGAAGGGGCGGAGCTGTGTTTGAGGTCCACATCCTCCTCCTCTTCATCATCATCACCTGAATCTTACCATCTGAAATGATTCTGTTCCTCTGTCTTGTCTCAGCAGGGTCCCGCCGCCACATTTTCTTCACTGATTCTGTCAAACGTCTCTCATCATTGTCCTTCATATCTAAGATGATGATGTTATATCTGTTATTAACGTGTGTGTGTGTGTGTGTCAGTCTGGCAGGTCACCTGATTGAGTGTGGAGCTCAGAGTACAGGAGGGATCTTCACCGACTGGCACAAAGTCCCTGACTGGTGAGACGGAGCTGAATCACTGAGTCAGTTAAAGAAGTCTGTTTCCACACAGCAGGTCTCAGCAGCCTGGAAACACCTGGAGAACTGACCTGTCAGTTTCCAGGCCTTGAAACTAAATGTTGATGCTTTTGTAGGAGAGAGACTCTAATCAGAAATTTAAGCTGAAAGCTGTGAAGGTGTGTTTGCACCTCTTAAACTTCAGCTGACACAGAAACACAGGAGTCTCCTGGATGATACAGCCATCTTGTAACTTTCTGTTCTGACCACCACCTTGAATCAGTAATAACAATAACTACATGTATGCAGCACGTTTCAAAACAAGCACCAGGTTTAACTTGTGTAATGGCAGCAACAGAAAGTTTCATTATGATAATGAACTTTATTTATACAGCACCTTTCAAAACACAAAGTGCTCTGTAATGTAACTGAACACAATTAAAACACAAAGAGAATAAAACAGAAAACAGGTCATAAAATGTCATTTAGTTAAATATAAAATAAAGAAGGGCAAAACTAAAATCAAGATAATAAATGTGAAAAACAGACTGCTCAGATAGAATCAGCTTTCAGATAGACGGACGTTTTTAGGAGAGACTCAGACGGCCTTATAAGGATAAGATAAAATTTCTTAATCCCACACTTAAAGGACAGAAAGGGGGTCGGAGCTGCTGTAACCAGCTGCCACTCAGGCGGCACCATCTTGGTTCATGATTATATCCTCGGGCAGGTCGTTCCAGAGCCTCGGGGCCCTGATTCTAAAAGCTCTGTCCCCTTTAGTCTTCAGTCTGGACTCTGGGACAAACAGATGACCTCTGCCCGAGGATCTCAAACTAACACAGGTTCATGAGGGACTAACAGGTCTGTCGGACAGTTGAGGCTGTCCTGTCCCCAAGTTAGCCCCGACTGTTGGGGCGCTGGCTGGATTCAGGTTGCAACAGCCACTGACTGGGGGTCAGTTTGTGGAGCTGCTGCCCACTCTCCTCGCAGTGCTTTATAAACAGTAACTACTATGAATCACATTCACCCATTCACACACTGATGGAACAGCCGTCGGGACAAATTTGGGGCTCAGCGTCCTGCCCAAGGATACTTCGACATGTGGACTAGAGGAGCTGGAGATCAAACTGCCGATGTTCTGATTAGAAGACGACACGCTCTACCTGCTGAGCCACAGCTGCACCAACACGTCAAAAACAGTCATTTAGCGTCCCTGTTAGCTGATCTCGTCCTCTGCTCAGAGGGTAAGGAGCTCCTGGACGTCATTGTTCACCCAGTTTGTGGACATTTTCGGCCGCTGTTGTGCTTCTGTGAGTTAGCTGCTAACTGCTAGTAGCTGCTTTTTAACTCTCCCGCAGTGTTTTGTTGCTGTTCCCCCATGTGCGATACAGAACGCAGAGATATTTGGGCCTTGAAGAGGCAGTGTGATCCGAGGCTCGAGCGAACATCTCTGAAACATTTCGTGGACTTTTTGCCCAGTGGTGCCAAAATAAAACAGCCTTCACAGCTTTAGATAAAAAACTATGGCGTGATTTTAAAGATGTCGGTGATTCTGCTGCACTTAGAGGTGAAAGTACGGCATGACAGTGGACCATGACTTCCCGTTGTGAAAGGTTGCTCGGTGAAATAAGGTTGCTGACTCCACATATCTGAACTGTGTGTTTGTGTGTCAGGGACAACATGGGTTTCCCTGTGGTGGAATGTTCCAGCGACGGCTCCTTCGTTCTTTCCAAACCGCCCAAAACCGGCGGCCTCGTCTCCTTCGGCACGACGGCCGAGCAGCTGGTGTACGAGATTGGTGACCCGCGGCGATACCTGCTGCCCGACGTGGTCTGTGACTTCAGCCAGGTGTCCATCAAGGAGGTGCCAGGTACACACACACACACACACACACACACACACACACACACACAGAGTCAGCACTGAGGACGTGACCAGCGGCTGAACTGTTGACTGTTTTCATAACCCTTGAACAACCTTAAACAAACGCGTCTGCAGCTTTGCTTCAACCTCTGAATGAACCTCCAATCAACTCTGTATCAGCTCTCAGTGATTTATTTTACTTTTATAAAAACTAAACATGAATCCATCAGGACGGTCCGACGGCGTCTGCTGCGGCGTCTCCGCCTGAACTGATAAGGCGCTCTCTCTTCTTCTCTCATTAATTCAGTCTTTATTCTAATCTGCTGTTAGCGGGAGGATCAACACTCTCTCCTGCTGTTCTGTTGATGTACGTTATGTTTACATTTCAGATTATGTGTCCTGAATATTTCACAGCTCTGACTCCTGCGTGACCCTGACACGATTCACTGGTCTACGACACATGAAGACATTTCTGTGTCTGTAGAACGCAGGAACCAGTTCATCCTGCTGAGTTTAACTGGTCAAAGAGCAGCTGAGAGAGTTCTGACCAGTCTGTTGTTCACTCTCAGTAACTCTGTTAAATAAATATATTCATTCTGCAACATACACATGACATCGTCACAAAATAACTTCAGGAACGTTTCATCTTGGCGTCACACTGATGTCGAAAATGACACCGCGTCCTCTCAGACACATGACACGCATGTTTAGAGTCTGATGATGTCATCACTCCGTATATACGCTGATGTACAGTATGACAAAAGAGGAGAGGAAGAAAACTGGAGAGATATGTGAGGTGAGGTGAGAAAGAAGCGAGGAGAGGAGAAGAGGACAAAAGGAGAGGAGAGAAAAATAGGGAGCAAGGAGAGGAGATTGGGAAACAAGAGGAGAGGAAAGGAGAGGTGAGGTGAGGTGAGGAGGAAGAAGCAAGGAGAGGAAAAGAGGAAAAAGGAGAGAAGAGAAAAATAGGGAGCAAGGAGAGGAGATTGGGAAACAAGAGGAGGGGACTGGAAGAATAAAGGAGAGAAGAAGAGGAAGCAGGGAGGTGAGGGGAGGAAATGAGAGTAGAGAATCAAACAAGGAGAGAAGAAGAAGAGGAAACAAGGAGGGAACAAGGAAATGAGGAAATTGCAGGAGAGAAGGAAACAATGAGAGGAGAGGAGGAAAAGAAGAGGAGAGAGGAATGGGAAACAAGTAGAGGACAAAAGAAGAAAGGAGAAGAGGAAACAAAGTGGGAAGAGGAGGAAACAAAACAGGAGAGAAGGAGGAAACAAGGAGAGAAGAAGAGGAAGCAGGGAGATGAGGGGAGGAAATGAGAGGAGAGGATGAAACAAGGAGAGAAGAGGAGGGAACAAGGAAAGGAGGAAATGACATTAGAGAAGGAAACAAGTTGGAAACAAGGAGAGGAGAAGAGGAAAAAGGAGAGGAAGAGGAGACAAGGAGAGAGGAAGAATGGGAAACAAGGAGAGGACAAAAGAAGAAAGGAGAGGAGGAAACAAAGAGGGAAGAGGAGGAAATGAAACAGAGAGAAGGAAAGAAACGAGTGCCTTAGTGTTCAGTGTTGGTCCTGGTCTCCTTCGTGTTACGTCAGTTCATATTTTGTGATGAAGACTCTCAGTCAGACACAGGTGAGCTGGTGTCACCTGTGTCTGACTGATGATAAATATCAACTACCAAAATGTCTGATTGGAAATTTGCCAGATCAATAAATGAAGAGATGAACAGCATATTAAACATCCTGATATCATGTGACCTGTAAGAAATGTTACTGATGGATATTAATCACCAACCGAAGCTGCAGAGTCGTCTCTGCCTGTTCAGAGCATACACCGCCTCCATGGCGGTCGCGGTCCTCCTCAGCGTGCTCGTTAGGTGACGCCATCATGTTCTTCAGAGACCTTCAAACACACGCAGGTCGCCGCATAGATCAGACCGGAGGTACGCTTCACTCCACCCAGCGAGCGTCAGTTGGTCAGTCTGCTCTGACGCATCTTCATTTATCTTATTTTCAAGTTATTTGATTTTATGGCTGTTTAAGACATATGTCCTGTAGTTGTTCTACGAGGCTCTGGAATATTGGCGGCCATATTGGTGGCGTGGCATCAACTCTGCTCTCCCCCTGAACTCTCTGAACACACTCCGTCTCAGAGTTTCAGAGTTCTGGATCCTCTCTGGACACAGCGTCCTGTTTCACAGAGGAATGTGAACTTTCATCTGCTGCTGTGTCCAGAGATGTAAATATGTCAGTCTCATTGAACTCCTCAGCCTGTTGCCCCCCCACGCCCCACACACACCCCCCCACCCCCCCATCAGGAGTTTATTTAGTAACATGAAGGAGGCGGGAACATGAACTGAAGACGACCCCGCTGACAGTCTGCAGACCGGTTCACACAGAGGTCGGCAAAGTGCTGCGTGATGTTTTCAGCTCACTGAGGGGGAGGAGGAGGAGGAGGAGAAGGAGGAGGAGGAGGTGAACCATGGTGCTGAGGAGAGACCAGAGGGAGACAGAGGGGAGGACACAAGGAGAGGAGAGAAGGAAACAAGAGAAGCTAGGAGAGCTGGTGAATGTGGTGAGGATGCCACAGTTGTGAAACATGTTTAAATTAAAAAATAGTTGTTGTTGTTATTGTTGTGTTGTTTGTTGTGTAACTAAAGTTATTGATCTCACATAAATCACTTTAATTAAGGAAGCATGTGGCGACTGTGAAGTAATGCTGCTACAGTCTGTGTGTGTGTGTGTGTGTGTGTGTGTGTGTGTGTGTGTGTGTGTTGAGGGGCGTAATGTTCTTGGTGTGTGTTTAATATGTTGAGATCACTGTGTCTGAGGTGGAAAACGTAACGCCCCAGAGATGTTGTGAGACTGGGAGATTCTTCAGCCCAGTAGTGCGGCTGTGTGATGGATCATGTCGGGTGTGTTGACAAAATAGTGACAGTGGAACGTTTGACTCAGATTTGAATCGTGCAATAAGTCGTGTCCACTTTGACCTCTGAGTGGATCGTTGTGAAACAGCGTGCTCTTTCCAGGATCTTGCTGATGAAGGGCAGGTTGGAGATTGGCCGGTAGTTGGTGAAGTCATCAGGGTCCAAACCAGGCTTTTTGAGAATTGGGGTGATTTTGAGACTGGTGGGTACTGTGCCAGATTCTCAGTGTTCAGAGGAAAGCTTAAAGTCAAACAGAGACAGCAGCAGACACAGATCATCATAGGTTTAGCTTTTCATCGTTGGAGAGCGCTGAAAGAAGAGAAAGGACTTACATGGACGTCGTGGACTTTTGGAGACAAAAGTTCTGACTTATTCGTCATCAGTTTTTGTTTCAGAGATCATCTGTGCAGGAAGAAGCTCCACTCCACTCAGCTGTCGATTTTCAATCGGTCATGGATAACCTGGAAGAGTCATGGAATTTATCACTTTTTCAAGGCCTGGAAAAGTCACGAAATTAGTGACAATTTTCGAAAGTTTTGGATCAGTCACAGAAATGTTGCGTGTCATGGACAGATGTATTTTCTGAAGCTGTCGACGTAGCGTAGCTCGAATATGTGTCGATTTGTGACACTTTGCTCACGTATGTTTCTCTGTCCTGTCTGTCCCTCCCTTCATGTATGCTCGCTGCCTGAGATTATGTTTGAACTGAATTAATATGTTTGAAAAATGCCGGGTAAATGGGACAAAGACAGCAACATCGTCACAGAAACAAACAAGAAAAACAACAAATTTTTTTTGTTAAAGGTCATGGAGAAGTTTTGAAATTTTGTCCATGAAAGTGTGCAGGAGCTCAGAATGAATCACTTGTTAGTTTAGTCCATAAAATGTCAAAACATTGTGAACACTGTCAGTTTCTCAGAGTCCAGGGTGACGCTCCCACGTGTCTCCTTTCACCAGGCCCGTGGTCCAAAAATGGCAGCGTCTCTGTCCACATTGGTTAACAGTTCGACCCTCACTGCTTCCACACCAGGAGCTTTTCGTCCATCTTCTCACTCCTACGTCACTTTGTTAAATAGCAGCTGAGTCTCTTCGATCATACCTGACTCAGTGTGACGACTGCCCGTTGTTCCACCGCTCATAACTGAAGCCTGAATGAAACAACTTCTGATCAACCCATATCAGTTTCAGGCTTAAAATAACCACTTCAGTTTAGGCTCCTCCCCCTCACGCTTCAAACTCTGCACATCTCGAGTACAGATACAGATCATGGTGAACTCACTTATCTCTGCGGTCTACTAAACTCTGTGTGTGTGTGTGTGTGTGTGTGTGTGTGTGTGTGTGTTTCCAGGTGTAGATGGAGGTGCTGTCAGAGTGACGGGGGCTAAAGGTCTCGCTCCATCACATGACTACAAGGTAAACATCATCATCATCATCATCATCATCATCATGACGAGATTAAGAGGTTTTTTTGCATCTGAAGGATCGCCTGAATTCGTGGTCTTCCTGTCTGATATGCTCCTCCTCCTCCTCCTCCTCCTCCTCTTCTTCTCCAGGTGTGCGCCACCTACATGGATGGTTTCAGGGCGACGGCGGTGTGTCCAGTCGGAGGCCCGAGAGCGGCAGAAAAGGCTCGAAGAACCGCAGAGAGCATTATCAAACGGTTTGTGTGCATGAAAGACGACTCCACCTGTGTGTGGTGCTCTGAACTTTATTTATATTCCTGAGAATAACTGGTGTGTGTGTGTGTGTGCAGGACGAAGCGAATGTTTCAGCAGTTAAAGTTTGAAGATTTCAGCTCCGTCAACATCCAGATCCTTGGAGCCGAGGACACATACGGCCCCAACGCTCGCAGACAGGTAACATGAACACACCTGCACTGTGTGTCGTCCTGCAGCCAGAGCACATTACCGTAGTTTCTCTAATAGAAGCTGAAGATTGAATCAAGGCTGGATGAACTTCAGCCTGTGATGAACTGTGCATGCTAACAATGAATGCTGCACACACACTTAGTTTGTCGTTCTTTTATTCTCTTTCTTTCTATTCCTCCTCTTCACCCTCCTCTCTGTCTTCTGTCTTTAACAGCAGATTCAGGTCAGGGTCAGACTTAATCCTGTTTCACAGACTCTCTCCTCGTCCCTCCATCCGCCCAAAACTTCTCTTGTACCAGAAGCAGGTCAGGGTCGGAGCTAAGCCTGTGTCACGCTGCTGACCTCACACACTTCCCTTTTTTTCTCTTCCACTCTTCTGTGTCTTTGTCTCTCTTCATCCTCTCCCCCTCATTTCCCTCCTCTTCTTGTTTGTCTGATATGTTTGAAAGCAGGCAGGACTGTCATTAACACCATGTTGTGTCTGTGGTGTGTTTGATCAGGGCTCCAGAGAGGCCGTGCTCTGGATGGCCGTCCATCACAAACAGAAAAAAGCTCTTGAGCTCTTCGCCAGAGAAGTCGCTCCTGCAGGAACCGGCATGGGTACGACAAACAACATCTGACTTGCGAACGTGTCAAGTGTTAAAAAAATCCACTTTGTTTTAAAGTACAGTGAATTTCCTGCGCAGAGCTTTTATTTTGAAGTGTTGTTTCCTGCTGTAGAGTGAGAGACTAACAGAGCGTTATTTGACTGAGACAGTAAACTAGCTTGATGACAAACACAAGTGTGACACTGAATATATTAAACTGTATGGACCTTGAACTGATGACTGAGGAGAAATCTGGACCCTGTGGACCAGTTGTTTGCCACAGTTTTATTTCTGCAATAATCCAAAATGTACCAGGGCGACGCAGAAAAGACGTCATCCCTGCAGCACTCTATCATGTCCAAAAATGTTGATAAACTGTCCAAAAAAATTACTAAAAAGGTAATAAAATGTCAGAAAAATATTATGAAAGTGTCAGAAAAAAAGTTAATAAAATGTTCAGAAAATGTTGATAAAATGACCTAAAAACATTATTAAAATGTCAGAAAATTTCAATAAAATGTCTGAAAAAATATTATTAAAATGTCTTAAAAAATGTCTGAAACAATGTCCCAAAATATTATCAAAATGTCAGAAGAAAAGTAAATAAAATGTCCAAAACATGTTGATTTAATGACCTAGAAATATTATGAAAATGTCAGAAGATAATTTAATAAAATGTCAGAAAAAAAGATTATAAAATGTCCTAAAATATTAATTAAATGTCTTAAAAAATGTCTGAAACAATGTCCTAAAATATCATTAAAATGTCAGAAGAAAAGTACATACAATGTCCAAAAATGTTGATAAAATGACCTAGAAATTTTATGAAAATGTGAGAGAAAAAGTTAATAAAATGTCAGAAAATATTCATTAAATGTCAGAAAAAAAGTTAATAAAATGTCTAAAAAATGTTGATAAAATGACCTAAAAAACATTATTAAAATATCAGAAAAATTCAGTAAAATTTTCTAAAATATTATTAAAATGTCAGAACAAAAGTAAATAACATGTCCAAAAAATGTTGATAAAATGACCAAGAAATATTATGACAATGTCAGAAAAAAAGTTAATAAAATGTCAAAGAATATTATTCAGATGTCAGAACAAAGATTATAAAATGTCTGAAAAATGTTGATAAAATGTCCAAAATATATTTTTAAATGTCAGAAAAAAGTTTATGAAATAGTCCAAAAATTATGAATAAATTGAATGAAAAAGAATGTTAAAAAAAAAAGTCAATAAATACCCAAAAATATTATTTAAATGTCTGAAATGTTTGTGAACTATCAGTTATCTCTGGAGCACTCTCTGACAGCCTGTGGATTGATTTCCATGTGACGGACTGGGTTGAATTATTCAAGAAATCCAAAGGATGTGACGTTATGCGTGTTCCTAAGTGTCTTGCTCCTCTTCAGTGTGCAACACTAGCTAATGTTAGCCAAGAAATGGAGTCCGCTAACGTCAACAAAAGACTGGCACCCACCTCAACACAGAGTCCACATGCTGTGTTTCCGTTGAGGCGGACCTTTAGTTGGAAAATTCAGCCAGAGCAGGCAGATCAGCAAACTTTCTGTTGCTGCCTGAACATAGGTTAGACCCTGCGCAGCTGCTGGTCACCAGGCAGCTGTGACAGTATCAGCACCCTGCAGAGCCAGAGAGCCGCCATTTTAGACATACGCATGTACCAGTTCCACAGCCATCATCTTTATTTTCTTGAAAAAGGCTACTACTTTACCCACAATGCACCTCAGGCTGCACACAGCTATAGCCTCGACCCTGTACCCTGCAGCAGAGATGAGCAGAGGGTGTGGTTTCCTTCGTGTCTAAAAAGCCTGAACTCTGTTTTAACCTTGTGAGTGAAACATTCACACACTCCCTGCTCAGGGCATTTATTAATATCCTCCATGCTGCAGATAAGCAGGGCTGTGACCTCCTGAATTTGGGTTTTGTTTATGGTAACCAGTTCAAATCAACCACATGCACTCAGCATGAACTCTGTGTGACTCAGCTGTTTGTGCTGTTGAACTGTAAGTGGGGCAGGAAGCTGAAGCTGAGCTCAGACCAGCTGTTACACCTGCTGCAACTGTAAAGATCAGTGTTTTTATGTTTTTAAATTTCCTCCTTCTTCTTGTCTCCATGCTCACAGCTCCCGGACTGACCGGCATCGTGGGCGGACGACCCAGAGTGTGAGTTTAAATATGCATCTTTATCCCCTGAAGATTGAATTTACCCACAGCCATGTCTCACGTGTCCACTTTGTCCACAATAACCAGAGTCATGTCCTCCCTCCAGGTCTCCCGTCCTGAAGCCGTTTTTCTTCTTACATCCCAAATCTGAGCTGAAGGTGAGTCTGAGTTGAGCTGACGAATGTTTATCAAGAAAAAACAAGCTGTCGCAGCAGTTTGGGGTTTTCAGGAAATTCTAACAAAGAAGGAACCTGATGAGTCACAGAGTGAGAAGAACTGACTGTGAACTGTCTGTGTTTGTGTTTCAAGTCCTTCCTTAAGTCTTAGTAACCAACGGCTGGTTTGTGTACGCAGATACGAAAGCTGACAACAGAAAAGCTGCTGAGTCTTGAATCTCACTACTTTTGCTTTGTTTGAGGATGAATTTATTCAGACAGAATTCAGACACAGTTGCATTTATTTCTCTCTTTCACTCTGTTGTTCAATAAAAAGGGAAAAAATAAGGAAGCTAAATAAAAATGTCGTTTTGTCGTCGAACTATTTGAACTGACTGTCAGTCCCACGACACTCGTTCACGTTGAGCTCTCTGCAGGTGGACATTCACATCAGTGGAGAGCTGGTGGAGTCTCTCACAGAGGCGGAGCCAGACGGACCTGAGCAGGAAGCCCCTCCCACCTCAGCAGAGGATGAACATGACGCAGGTAAACAAGGGCACCATGTTATGTTCCTTACATTACATCTGACAGTTACGAATATTGAAGGGTCAGAGAGAGTCAGTTTAACCCAAGCGGCAACCTCCAGGGATGACGAGTGAAGCCAATGCGGAAGTGCCACAAGCTGCAGTTCGTTGAATGGCCACTTGAGGCAGGCTCCAGAAGTGAGTCAATCCCCATAGACCTCCATGTTAAGATGCTCAACTTTACAGCAGAAATAAAAACATGTTTACAGCCTGGTGCAAAAAACGGTTTTGGTCTCTATAGCTAATTTCCCCTCTCATGACAACTGTACGGGGGGTGATTTTTTTTATAACTCATCTGTTTAAATTTTACCACAGGGCTAGCCAAACCAGTGTAGCTTGTTAGCCTAGCTCGTTAGCCTAACTTAGCAGCTTCGAGCGAGGTGGGCGTGCTTAAGCAACCAGGCTTCATTTGGCCTGCCTCTTTGCCCATTTTTGATTGGCCCGGAAGTTGGGCGGAGACAGGCACTGGCGCCGACTTTGAGCTTCAAACCCGCTCCTCATAAACCAATGGGTGATGTCACGGTGACTATGTCCATATTTTTATACAGTCGATGGTTTAACCAGAGGTCAGGTTAGTTTTTTCAGTCAGTGCTGATGGGGCCTGAAGCGTCAGCGCTGTTGCCATGGTTACCTCCATTTTAGTTTTGAAAAGTTTACAGGGTCCGTCGTGAGGCACCATTGGCTCTTAGGAGTATAAAAGGAATCCTTGACAAGATTCAAATGGTCTTTGGGAGAGCTGCCCTCCGATAGTCGACCAGAAAGGTCATTAGTCGGCAAGATTTCATTGGTTGCTTAATCGCGGAAAAAACTAACATGAAACTCTTTGAGGAGCTGCGTCTTGGTCTTTTAAGGTTTTGTATGTGCAAAATGACTGTTTACTACTGAAAGACATGGTGGAGTGATGGTTTCCTGAGCAGAGAGTGATGTCACACTCCCTCTGTGAGTGTCCCGCTGGACCTCTAGAGTCTGAATATGTTCTGAATGTGGCGTACAGCTCCTTTGAGAGGTTGCAGATGTCCTCAATGGCTTCAAATGCTCCTTTGGTTGGTTTAAATTGTCCTTGAGTGGACTGGAGTGGTGATTTAGGGGTTCCAGGGGTTATTAAAGCATTTTAGATTGTCCCTGAGAAAGTTCCAGGGTCCTTGAGGGGCTTGGATGGGGTAAGAGGGGTCACAGAGTCCTCGAGGAAGTTCCAGGAATCCAGGGTGCTGATGACACGGTGGATTTTGGTGCTCACAGCATGGACACCACCTTAACCCCACCCGTCTGATTGAACTTGAATGGTGCGTCAGGGTTTGAGATTGTCCTTGAGGAAGCTCCAGGGCCCTTGAGGGGGCTTGAAGGATCTTTGCATTATAGAGCTTCAGCCTTTGGTTAGTAAGCAGGTCAAAGGTCGTGTCTCACCTCACCATCTGTGTTCATGTGTTCATAAGAAAATAAAAGTGACAGAATGAACAAGTGATTGTGAACAGTTATTGATGATGGACGGTTTGTGCTGTTACTGATGTCTGCCTACAGAGGGCGACATCTTCCCATGTCCCATTACCTCCATAATCACAACCAACACTGTGTGTGTGTGTGTGTGTGTGTGTGTGTGTGTGTGTGTGTGTGTGTGTGGGGCATCTTCTGTTCCTGAGAAGTACAAGCTGTGCCACTTTTCATCCTTTCACCAACGCTGCATTCACATGGCCCCGAACAAATAGTCAGCACACAGAGACGCTCCTTAAGCTGTCTCACACTCACACACACACACACACACACACACACACACAGAGTCCTGGCCTCTTCACATTCCAGGCTGAAAACAGGAAGTCCTCCAAACACAATAAAACAAACCAACATAATGAAAACATTCAGATGAAGAAAGAAAAGACGGAGCTGCTGCTTTTAATATTCACTCACCTGGTTTCACTGAAAAAATCAAAACAGCTGTGATTTGTATTTTTATTTTAATGTATTTTATTACTGCGTCTGCTCAATAAAACACAGAGAATAAAATGAACAAAGCAAAATAAAAGTCTTTCTGGCATCAGTCATGAATCAGTCACCACACAGGCAGAGCTAATGGATCTTTAATAGAGGATTTATTGGCAATACGCTGTAGTTGTCAGTACTTTTTTTTATAGGGAAATAACCAGAAATATCAACTTTGAAACCAACTTCAACAGCATATTTGAAACAATTTTCTTAACATATTTGTGGACACAGTAGCTATGTCTCAGTTCAGGGGCTGCAGCCTTCCAAGGCTGCATCTGAAGACCGATGGCGTCACATCTGCGTAACCAAGGCCGTCCCGTTTTGAAAGGTTCTTTCAGATGCAGCCGAGAAAAGCAGCCCTATTTCCTAGAATTTGGAGGATGCAATGGATGAATCCTTCGTGGCCCAGCCTATCCCAAGATGCACTGTGCGCCGGTGACGCAAACCATAGACATATATACATAGACGCCGCATTGACTGCCGCTGCCTATCAGAGCCGACGTCCTCGCCAGCCGCCATCTTGGATGGGTCTCGCTTCGCCTCCACAGTGCATTCACTTCTATTGAGGAAGGAGCTGTATGCACAAGTAAAATAGAATAACTCACTGAATTTTTAACTGATTTTCACGCGGTTTGGTTTGTTACAAACGGCACACATGTAGTTATGATACAGGATACTTTCGTACATTAAAAATGCGGGATTTCATGCTTTAATACTTTCTGCAGATAGCAACAGCATGTTATTTAGGTCACAACACAGTTATTTTATTCACCTCAACCCCAGAGTGGGATATATA